CAATACCATCTAGCATTTGTTGACCTCTTGCTCTGTGTCAGGCATCACCACAAAGGTCCTGATGCAGCGTGTCACATTGAAACCCCCTTACAACACTCTACAGTTGTTGTTGTTCAGTTGTTAAGTTGCGTCTGACTCTTCAAAACCCCGTGGACTACGGCATGCCAGGCTCCCCTGTCCTTCATCAACTCCTGGAGTTTGCTCAAATTCATGTTCATCGAGTCAGTGATGCCATCGCACCACCTCATCCTTTGCCACCCTCCTCTCCTTTTGCCTTCAGTCTTTCCCACCATCAGGGTTTTTGCCAACAAGTCGGCTCTTGGCATCAGGTGGTCAAAGTATTGGAGCTTCAGTGCCAGTCCTTCCAGTGAATATTCAGGGTTGATCTCCTCGAGGATTGACTGGCTTGGCTCTGAAGGGTGGTACTATTATTAATTCCACTCTATAGACCAGGAAGCCCACGTTTAGAGCGGTAAGCGACGGGGTCAAGGTCAGCCAGTGTAGAGGGCACTGTTGGCGTCTCACCCAGACCTCTGTCACCGGCAGCGCACCCGTCCCCCAGCGGCTGGGACAGTTGGCTGTCGGAGCTCAGAGCAGCCCTGATCCCCCTTCTGTGAGTTGCACAGTCTCCACAACCCCACTCAGGAAGCAGCCCAGAGCCCATAACCCACGGATGACAGGGTGGGGGGCCCAGAAGGCTCCCCCCACTGCTATAAGTTCAGATTGACTCTGGTACAACTCATGTTCTAGAACTCCTGGAGGGATCCAGTTGAGACCCAACCCTTGCTTCACTCCTTCCCCTGCCCTATGTTGCTCCTGGGCTCCCCTTCTCCTGAAAGGACCCCCCCTCCCATCAGCCTTTTCAAATAGCATTCCTATCTCAGGTTGTGCCTCCAGGGGACCAGTCCTAGGATAGCTGGTTAGCAGGGGGCTGAGCTAGGCTCACGTCTAGGAAGGTCTCACTCTTCATCACTAAGCAGATGTGATGTAACATTTCCTGTATTATTACATACAGGATTAAAATGATGGCCTCCAAGTCATCAAGTTGCCAGCAAATATGTTGTACAGGCATCAGCATGACAAACAACTACTGTTTGTTGTTGTTATTATTCAGTTGCGGAGTCGTGTCTCTTTGCAACCCCATGGACTGCAGCACGCCAGGCTTCCCTGTCCTTCACTATGTCCCAGAGTTTGCTCAAACACATGTCCATTGAGTCAGTGATGCCATCCAACCATCTCATCCTCTGTCGCAGCCCCCTTTCTCCCCTTGCCCTCAATACTTCCCAGCATCAGGATCTTTACCGATGAGTCGGCTCATCGCATCAAGTGGCCAAAGGATTGGAGCTTCACCTTTAGCATCAGTCCTTCCAATGAATATTCAGTGTTGATTTCCTTTAGGATTGACTGGTTTGATCTCTTCGGTGTCCAAGGGACTCTCAAGAGTCTTTTCCAGCACCACAGTTCTTGGTGCTAACCTTGAGCCCATCTCTTTCTTGAAAGATGAACACTATAATGTTCATCTTATTATCTCCATTTTGCAGTCGAGGCAAGAAAAGCTTAGAGAAGTTAAGAAAGATGTTCACCAAGGTTACACAGATCTATCTTTCTCCAAAGGCCACATGCTTTTTCCACTTGACCAGTTAAATCGCTTGCTGTGTAAATTGTTCCCTGAATGGCTGATGAAATGGGCTCCCTATCAAATATGATGTTGTGGTAACAATTCAAATGGAAGACTGGGCTACCCTTCCCACCCCATACAGCCCACCGTGGTTCTTTCTGAGCCGTGTTTAACCATCAAGCCTCTACTTTAGGGAGAGCGCCGGATTACTCTGGGGACAGGCAGAGAATGTTTCCTTAAGCCAGACACAAACAGATGAGAAGGGCTTCCCAGGTGGCGCATAAAGAACCCGCCTGCCAATGCAGGAGACACAAGAGATGCGGGCTCCATCTCTGGGTCAGGGAGGTCCCCTGGAGGAGGGTGTGGCAACCCACTCCAGTGTTCTTGCCTGGAGAATCCCATGGACAGGGGAGCCTGGCGGGCTGCAGTCCATGGGGTTGCAAAGAGTCGGACACGACTGAGTGACCGAGCACCCATGCAAACAGATCAAAGCCACATTCACTGAAGAAAGGGAAGAAAACAAGGTTATGTGTCAAAGGTCCGGAGGAGTAAACTACATCTCTCCTGGCTTTGCAACAGCGGGAGACAAAATAAGAGGGAAAGAGCAGAGCCTTAAGGAGAAATAAACTAGGATTCAAATCCTAGCTTCATTACCTGTGTGGTGTTTTTAGCAAATTACTCAACATCTCCGAGCCTCAGTTTGCTTTACCGTAATACCTACTGTGTTAGACCAGATATGAGAGGGGGGCAAATGAGATAAAATATGTATCTCCTCCCGCCTTCTCTCTTCCATTTCCACAAAATTTATACGGTAGTCAACTCGGACCCTCATTCCAGGTCTGAACGATACTAGTTCAGATGGACTGTGCTTTATTTTCCAGCAAAAAGCATATCCTATTTGATGATAAAATGTTTCCATTAAAAATAGAGAACCGAGAGAGAATGGATAAGAGGAGAACCTTCATCCAAGAGGCCATCAGCTGATTCATAAAACCACAGAATGAGTCATCCTGGCTCCCAAGGCTAATCTTACAATCAGTGGGCATCTCTGCCCAGCCAATCCTAGCCCAGTGGAGAAAGAAGGGCCCAGCAGGCAATCCTCACAAACCTATTCCGATCCCTCCCTGCAAAACCGATTAACTCTGCTTCCAGCTTGGGTGAAATGAAAATCAACCTGGGCCCTTTGCAGTACTGTTTCCCCTCCCCCGTCCAGCATCATCTCCCACCCCTCATGGCTTGTTGGCTTTCTAAACAACTGGGGCGGGGGGATCTGTGACGATTCTACTCAATGTGTGTGTGTGTGTGTGTCTGTGTGTGTGCGGCTCCAACGAAAAACAGGCTTCTGTGTCTGGCTTTGAAAATCAATCTCCCAGTCTTCATCCTGACATTTATTATTTCCAAACCCTTCAGGTCCTCTTGGCATTTATGCAGTAAGCAAAAGGCTGGAGAACCCAGGTCTATTTGACCTGCAGATGATGATCTTTTAACAAAAAAGTAGCTTCAACATTTTTACTCTCTATATATACACTCTGACAAAGAGTCCTAGAACCCAGTCCTCAATTTGAATGGAGGGTCATAAATCATACACACACACACACACACACACGCCCCCACACACACGTAATATTTTTGATTGGTGGTTGAGGAAGGAAAGTGAATCAATACATGGTTTTAATTTTACTAGGTAGACATACTTCCACCAACAAGTGAAGAAAAAGAATGACTCAACAGTCTCCCTCCAGGCACCTTTTCCCCATCCTTCCATCCAGCAATAACTGAGTCATTCAGCAATAGCATATTCAAGATACACTGGGTGCCAAGCTCTGGGCTGGACATTGGGAATTTATCAGTGAGCATGTATCAGAGGCACGCTCTGCCTTCTGGATCAGCCAGCTTGGTTCAGCAAGAGTTAACAAGATAGAACTGTATAGGATCCCCCAGTTGGCCAAAGCCACCTCTGCCACCTGAATTCCCCCTGGGAGAGGCCCCTGTGTTCAGAGTTAAACACATCCAGCCCCATCTGTGAGAAGTGAGCCAGAGACCAGTGCCTGCCTCTCTCCAGCCACCTTCCAGTCTGAAGAATGAAACCCACACCTGCTTTCAAAGTGGCGAAGCGGAAGGGAAGCCCCTCTGCACTCTTCTTGCCTCTAGACTGTTTCCAGATGCTGATTTTGGGGGGTCTAAGCGGTGAGCTGGCTGCTGCTTTTAGGGAGCTGGGTCTCTTGGGGGCTTTAAAGAATGGTGATGGGAAGGGACGGGCCCATCTCAGGGTGCTAACAGAGAGTTCCCCAGAAAAGCTTTCCACGCTGCAGCACACAACTCACAGCGCTGGTCCAGTGAGCCCTCGGCGGTGAGTCCTCTCCCTGGAACTCCAGGAAAATGACCATACAGTGATAGACAGCACAAGCGATGTTTATACACTCCAGGAGGAATCCCAGCCTGGTGAGGGTCTGACGTTCCCCGGGGAGGGGTGGGGGCAGGAAAGTGACTCAGGAGATGGAAGCAGGAGTTAGAAGATTCAGCTGTTTTGTTCGCTTGTGTTTTTACTCTTCAGAGAAACACAGAAGGCGCTGGTGGGCAAGAGGGGGGATGAAGTAGCAGCCTTGGCCTCACCTCTTAGGGGACTTAAATGCTGGGTCCCTAAAATGCGTCCCAGTTACTCTCCCAGTATGACACCACAAGGAGGGAGTGTACAGCAGTGAGCAAGAGGGACGCATTTCCCCAACCCTGCTCTCTGACTCCAGCCCCAAAGGGACAACTGCCTAGAGGTCGAAAAAGGTGCCATATCAAATCCTGGCCATGCCGCTTAGCGGCAGCCGGCTGATCTTGGGCAAACCACTCTCTGAGCCCCGGTTGCGGCACCTGTGACAAGGCGACAACGATGATGCCTAACTCTCTGGGTCCCAGGAACTATTAAATAAGATCGCACACGTAAAACTCTTTAAGAACTGACGGCAGGCACGCAGTGAGTCGACGGTTATGATTTTCTAACCATGTTAGCACCAAACCTTCCTCTCCTGGCCCCTGAGCTGTCCTACTCCACGGAGAGCTCCCGTGGCGCGATCTTCCAGACCCTGAGCGCTGGGCGCCACCGGTCACTCTTCCCCTCCCCGGAGCTCACCGTCTCCTCCGGTCACCCCCAGACCCGGCTTGGGGAGAACGAGGGCTTGCCTGCCAGCCTCCTCCCCAGCATCGGCGGGCCAAGGGGCGGCGGGGGAGGCTCAGAGAGCCGGTGAGGGCGCGCGGGGGGCCGCCCAGGGAGGCTCTTCCCCTCCAGTAGCGTGCCCGCCAAGGCTCTGCCAGCCGCTCCCCGGGAGCTCTGAGAGTGCGCAAAGAGAGAGAGAGAGAGAGAAAGAAAGCGAGAAAGGCGCGGATACTGGACCAGGCTTTGACGCGGATCTTGAGCTCGCCGTCCTGCGGCTCGGGCATGGCCTTCCTGGTGACCCGCAGCTTGTTGAGCCCCCCGAAGCCGGCCAGCACTACGGCGCGCATCTCCTGGGCGTCCCCGAGGCGGTGAGAGCCGCCGCCGCCGCCGCCCTCAGCCGGCTCCTTGCCTGCCTCCTTTTCGATCATCTGCTCCGTCTCCTCCGCCTTCTCCACGCCTTCCTTGGCCATGGCGCGCGGGGGCACGGGGCGCACGGGCTGCGGCGGCTGCGGCCCTGGGGGGCTCGGGGACCCTCGCTCGCGGGTTCCTCCTGTTGAATGCGGGATGCTCGGCGGCGCAATGGCTGCAGCCTCTGCGAGCCGCGCCGCGGTCCACGGCCTCCGCCGTAATCCTCCCAAGAGCCGCGCGCCCCGCCTCGCTGCCCTCCTCTGTCCTGCCAGAGCAAAGCCTCAGCTCCCGCTTCTCAGCCAGTTTCACACCAAGCTTTTGATCGTAAAACCCAGAACCCAGATCTGCCAAAAAAAAAAAAAAAAAAAAAAACTCGTGAATAAAACACATAGGGAGGACGCCTTGTCCTCCGCCGTGGACGCAATATTTCATTATATACGGCGCGGGCTGGGCGCCTTGAAATGGACAGAGATGAATGTCTAGGCCTGGAGGACGCCTCCCCGCCCCAAGGTGGCCTCCTCTCCCACCGACGTGTGGGGGCCGGGGGACTGACGGGAAACGCGGCTGTTTCCCAAACCACTGGTCCGGGTTAGAAGGACAGAGAGGTACGGGAAACTGGAAACTGGAAGTCCCACTGGCTGCCCTGAGGAATCCAGATCCAGGTCTTTGCACTTGGGACCTCCAGAGATGCTGCTTACCCAGGATCGCGAGGAGCATTTCATGATGGCTAACTCTCACCACCCGACCAGTTTGGGGCCGTGGAAGAGGCTCCAAAATAGAGTTCAGTACCAGAAAGGGGTTCGGTTCTTGATCTGACTTAACAGAAGATCAGATCACTGCGCGCGCGCACACACACACACACCCCTGCAACGTGTGTACACACACACAAACACGCAGGGCAACACCTGGGTTCTTGTCTTCTGTTAGCGAGCACTTTTGAAATGTGCTCATAGAAGCACTTAGATTTTTTTTTTTTTAAGGAAAAAAGATGGGGTATTCCCTTGCAGCAGTTTACAGAAAGATGCAGTTGAGGAGTGATAGGTGTGTATTGTAGTTATGAGCCAAAAAACCCAGGTCTTTGAAGAAGACCTCAGGGAGCAGGGGCCTTGAGTCAGACCTTGAAGGTGAACCAGGTTCTTCAGATAGGTGATCTCAAGCACCTTTAAACACATAGCAAGGTGGCAGGTGAAAGGGCTATTGGAAAGACACTGATTTGTTCTGTGTGAGCTGATCATTGGCTGTGTTTGACAGTCGCTGGAGACTAGTCTGGAAAGGTTGGTTGGAACCAGCTTTTGAGGATTTTTACCTATTGTGTTATCAAAGTTAAGACATAATCGTGGAGGCAGTGGGCCCCACTGGAGGCTTAAAGAAGGGGGGAGGGTTGGCATCACCAGATTGCATTTCAGGATAACAGGTTTGGAGGTAAAGTGGTGATGGTTTGGACGATAGAGTTACTGGAAGCATGGAGACCCGTTAGAGACTAGAGTGCAGACAAAAATCAATTAATCGACAAATCAGTCAGTACATAAGAGCCTCAGCTGAGGCAATGGCTGTAGGGTGGAAGAGAGAGATTAGAAGGAGGCTGAATAGACAAGACTTGGCTAGTGAATTGAACATTTGATTGTAAACCAAATTGTCCAAATCATTAAGTCTTTTGACATTGTGCGGAATAATGCTTAGGCTGGATTCTATCCTGAAACAAGAATTGGAGTGCCCGTGCTTTATTGGGAGGTGTTCCCAGGAAGCCCCCCATCAGGAAGTCAGGAAGTGAGCAGGAAGCAACTGAAGCCAATGCAAGGAGTGTGACCACAGGGACGCATGGGGCCCAAGCCCAGAGACAGTGTGGGACAAGCTCAGCGCTGTCTCGTCCAAGCTGGAAGGACACGGATGCTTTAAACTAAGCTTTCAGCTGATCCTCCGAGGGCTGTCCTGGAAGTGTTAGCTCCCTGTGCTTTCAGCCTGCCCCTGGTACCCGTGCTGAGATGCTCCAGGCAGGATGCTCTCCATAGGAAGCTGTTATCTTAGTCAGGGAATGGCGAGTTCAAAGGGGCTATGGGCATTGATAACATCTTCAAGGTGTGGTCTTGATTTGTGGGTATCTACTCTTCAAGACCCTTTATGTATCTTTTGTAATTTGATTTGCAGAATAAACCTTATGAGGTAAGCATCATTATTCCCACTTTACAGAAGAGAAAAGAAGTCTTAACATGGTGACTTATCCTGCCCAAAGGAACACAGTGACTGTGGTGGGATACATAACCAGCTCCAAATGGATGCTCTTAGCTTCTCACCATGCACGCTCATTTGGATGGACCAAATGAGTTCTTCCCCAATGGATGACACTCCATGGCATTTTATGTTCCCTGCCCCTTTGTTGGCCTCCTACTGTTTCTGTCCCATTAGGACCCCTTGCCTTGATTCTGAGGACTTTCCTTTAAGAACAGAAAGTTAATCTTTGCACTCAGCACACAGCATGTTTAAGAGAACTGTTTGCCTTATCATATGTTAAAAGGAATATAATTACTCCCTCCAAGGGAATCTTCTAGCTGTGTATAAACAACAGATTGCAATTGGTTTGCAGCTGATTGTCACAGCAACTAAGAGGAAACACACCACAGTCTGCTGCTGTTGGAGGAATACCTTCTTCTGAGTCCTGTGCTTAACCTGGATGGTTAAGTATTCTCAAATCTTCTCCTCTCTGGTGGGATGTGGCAAAAGCCATGCGGCAAGACATCTGTCCAAATAAACCCAATAAACCTATTTTCAATTTATAAAATTGATTCCTTGGGCATTGGCTTTAGAACTTCAGTTGTGAAATACCTTACTATGTAGCACAATGTCACCACAGCGGCCACTGCTGGTGAAATGCAGTATCACAACTCAGCTCTACTAACTTGTATACGAGGTAGGAACAGGTGTGTGTACCATGGGAGGGGTGTAGGGGGTCTAAATGGGAACCCCTCACAATATAAGCCATCCTAGGGGAGTGCCACACAAAAGAAGTGAGATCTTTGGGCAATAATATATGGGAAACAATCTTAGTACGAGTTCCGAATGGTTTTCTAAATAACTTGAAAAGGTTCACTAACTTTCCAGAGAGACAGGTTACCTGGGGGCGAATAGTCAATGTCTTCAACTATATCCTTTCAATAAGATTTCTTCTATTGTATTTTCCTCAACACAATTAGAGTCATTTATTATAATACATTGTTAAATCTAAAAAATAACCCTGTGTCGTATGTACAGTGTGTATACATGAGTGTGCTCAGTTGCTCAGTCATATCTGACACTTTAAGGCCCCAGAGACTGTAGCCTGCCAGACTCCTCCATCCATGGAATTTTCCAGGCAGGAATACTGGAGTGGGTTCCAGTATTCCCTACTTCAGGGGATCTTCCCGACCCACAGACATAGGTACTATCATCCTCATTTTACCCAGGAAAAGACTTAATAGAAACTGCGTAGCTTTCCTAAGGTCACCTACTTAATCTGGCAGAGCTGGGATTTGAAGTGGGAGGCATTTGACTTTAAAGTGCAATGGCTAACCACCATGCATAATAGTTATGGTTTTATAAGCTGTTATGGGTTTCAAAAACACCATAGAATAGATTGGGAAAGAAGACAAATTTAGAAGGTCAGCAATGAGGAACAGCTAAAGGTTGATGGTCATTGGAAGATCTTAGTAATATCCAAGAGCTCATATTAAAGGATGTATGCTATAATTTCTTATAGTTTGTATTGATGTAATTTAAAAGTCAACGAAGCATGATTGCCACAAGGACAGCATTATCTTCAGAGAAGTACTGAATAAGTGTGAAGCCCATCCTGAAGGAGGTAGGATAAACTTCCTATTTATATCTCATAGAACTAGTCACAGAGGGTTAACTCTAGACATGTCAGAGGGGAAAAGTGAGCTGATGTTCTTCATCACTTTTTGAGTCCTGACCTTCTACTATTACTAAGTAATGGAGATAGAATGGGGAATAAGACAAACATATTCTCAGTACTGGGATTCCCAGGTGGATCCAGTGGTAAAGAACGCGCCTACAATGCTGGAGGCTCAGGAGAGCCAGGTTTGAGCCTGGGTTGAGAAGATCCCCTGGAGGAGGAAATGGCAACCCACTCCAGTATTCTTGCCTGGAGAATTCCATGGACAGAGAAGCCCGGCAGGCTACAGTCCCTATGGTCGCAAAGAGTCAGACACAACTGATGCTACTTAGCATGCACGCATTCTCAGCAGCAATGGGACTAACAGAGGAGAAATATATTGGTTTAGGTTGAGTTCCCCAGAAGCAAACCTTTTATAATTCAAATATTTGAGTGTAAATGGCTTATTTGAGTGATGATTCTGGGAAGTAGGTGTCTGTGGAATTGATATAGGGAATGGAAAGAAGTCAGTACATGGTACATCATCTAGCAGGTTACCTCTGCCGTTGACTCAGGTTAAATCGTGCTGGAGAACTGTCCATGACACTATAGAACACATCTCAAAGTTATCACAATCGAGAGGCAAGGTAAATGGATGCTCACCTCCTGTCAGTCCTTGGCCAAGGGCTGTTTCTCTGGGGTGCTCACCATCTATCCTTTCCTGGTCTGCCCTGCACATGGACTGTTTTGGAACAGGCAGCTAACCAAGCTATTCTGAAAGAGTTGCAGGTGTTTCAGTTTAAACCCATTGGATCACTGTGCATGGCAGTGGGGAGTTCTAAGAGGGTGTTTGTGGAACAAAGCAATCTTTCCTATTGATATGCCTCCCCTAAAAAAAATCACACAATCAATCATTTACTAGTATAAGCACTGTAAAGAATAAATAGAATGTTCTCTCTGGAAGATTAGGGAAGGCTGTACTATGAAAGTGATGATAAAATATATTCAGCTATGAATAACAAAAGCCTTAAAATAAAAAGTGGCTTAAAGAAGACAGAATACACATAAGAATGGTATGGAGTCTCCCCAAAGTCATCAAGGATCAATGTTCCCTCCAGTTCTGTACTTCACCTAGCTGAGGGATTGACCCTCATTCTCATGGTTCAAAATACACCCCTCACATCCATGTTCCAGGTA